GCAGCAGCAGCAGCAGCAGCTCATTACTTCCTTCTCTTATCCAAATCGAAGGGGCGGGGAGGCATAGGCTGGGGTGTCTGCGCAGCTTCCCTCCCGAAGCGCTGGTGGTGGCCCATTGGCGTCTTGCCGCCCGGTGTTGCTGCTGCTGCTGCTGCTGCAGTGTCTGCAGCAAAGACTTTCTTGTTGCTGCGCCTGCTGCGGCTCCTGCGGCGGCAGCAGCAGCCACAAACAAGGCGGAAGCAACGCAGCAGCACACAACCCGACAAGTAGGCAGCAGCAAGCAGCAGCAGAACGAGCAGCAGCCGCCCCTGGAAGTCTGCAGGCACCATCGGCTTCAGGTGGGGCTGGTGTACGTACACCGCAGCGAGGATAGCGTCAAGCTGCTCATTTGCTGCTGCTGCTGTCTTTCTTGCTGCGCTGCTGCCGGTGTTAATAGCCCAAACAGTTGCTGCTGAGGCGTGGGGGTGGATGTAGGTGAAGTATAAGTCCTTGGTTGTCTCAACATAGGGCTCGATGTGTACATACACCTTGCTGAGCTGCTCTCCTGCTGCTGCTGTTGCTGCTGCTGCCTGCTGCTGCGCTGCATCGCGCACAGACAGCGGCACCGCTGATGAAGCCACATCAAAAGCAGCCATGTATATTTGGGCAAGATCAGAAGCTACTTCCCTGGCCTTGTCGACTGTACCTGCAGCTCCGCCTTGCTGCTGCTGCTGCTGCTGCATGCGCTGCACGCGGTCCCGCAGCTGCTGGTGCTGCTGCTGGTGGTGCTGCACCTCCGCACGGGCCTTCTCTAAGTCTCGAACAAGGTCTTCAATCTCTGTGGCAGACTGCTGCTGCTGCTGCTGCTGCTTCCTCAGTGCTGCCTCAAGTTCTGACTTTGCCTTAAGCTCCTCGTTGAGCCGAGTACGCAAGGCCTCCGCTTGCTGCTGTTGATGCGTGTTCTGCTGCTGCGTTTGCTGCTGCAGCTTACTCGTGCAGGCGGCAAGCGACTCCTCATGTTTCTGTCTAAATGCTAGCAAGTCGCTCTCCGCGTTATCCGCCCGCTGCTCCGCGTACATGAGCTTCTTGTTGCATGTTGCTAGGTCGCTTGCTGCTGCTGCTGCTGCTGCTGCTGTGGACTGCTGCTTCTCCGCAGCTGCAGGCTGCTGCTCCCGTTGCGCTGCAGCAGGAGCTGCTGCCTCTGTTGCGCCCCCTTTAGACGCCTCCTTTGCTGACACTGCAGCAAAGACACCCGAAAGGAGCAGCAGCCCGAGCAGCACCAACAGCCGCTGCTGCTGCAGCTTCCGCCAGGCGCACATCCTTGCGGGGTGTACGTATACTGCAACTGAGGGCTATGTTGCTGCTCTGTCCTGCAGCAGCAACTCTAGGATGCGACTAAACAGCAATACACGCAATAGATGCCACACGCTGCTCGCAAGGACGCACCAGCAGCAGCAGCAGCAGGAGCAGCAGCAGCAGCGGCGCCAGCAGCAGCAGCAGCGGCAGCAGACGGCCGCGACAGTACGCGCAGATAGGGTGTATCTCCTGAATCAAAAGGCCTCACTGCTTGCTAATAACGAAGGAAACACTACTAAAATAACTTTTTGCAGCAACAACGGCAGATTACGCTACGGCAGCAGCAGCAGCTGCTGCTGCCGCTGCTGCTGCTGCTGCCACCCCCCATCGCGGGGCGGCGCCCGTTGCTGCTGCTCCTGGACTCTCTCCTCAACTCTACTCATTAATGTTTAGGTACTAGGTTTTAGTCTTCTTGTTTGTGTTTTATTTTTTATTTTTATTAGAAATAGGCTGGGAGTAGATGAGAGAACAGTATACACCTGCGCTGGTGAGTCCTAAAACTGCAGCAGAGCATTCGTGTAAGGTTTCCGTGTGTCTTCCTTTGCTGCAGCAACAGCTTGTCTTTCATTAGCAGATTGTCGCTGCTGTTGCTGCTGTTGCTGCTGTTGCTGCTGTTGTAGCAGCAACAGCAGCATAGCGTTTTACACAATCTAGCATCAATCTAGTCAAGGCGCCCGCAGCAGTCAGTGTGTGGAGCCTTTTATCTATCTGAAGCCGGGATTATGTTTATTTCTACTTGAGAGGAGGTTAGCAGCTGAAGGAGAATGTCTTGCTTGGCATTTCTCTGCTGCGTTAATGCATGCATCAGGAACGATAGCAGCAGAAGCATAAGCCCGAGACAGCACAGATATATACGGTGTAACTCCTTGTATGTGGAAGCGCAGTGGGGGAGGATCGTGTTCTCTATCATAAAATACTTTCCTACGGTTTGAGAAAATCGTTTTTTACTATTCCCAAAGCAACTGCTGCATGCACTTGAAGCAACTGTTGCATGCACTTGGGTACTCCACAGAATTTGCCTGGTCTGCCTTATCTTTCTTCTGCATTTACCCTTGCAATCTTGCAGTATGCTGCTAATGAGGGGCTTTTGCTTCAAAGAGAAGTGATATTTTCTCTCCATATCGTACAACAACCCATTGCCTGCAGTGTCTACCGGTGCTTTTCTCGTCCTGCATGCTTCCTGGGAACCCTGACCACATACATTGTTTTGCTGCTTCCCTATAAGGCAATTAAGGCTATTAAAGCCTTTTGATTGTTGTTTGTTGCCGTCATCAGGCACATGTATCTATATTTCCTCAACAACCCTGCTGCTCGCACTGGTAGAATCCTGCGAACCCTAAGTAGAAATGAATATTTCGGTTTGAAAAGGAGCGCCGCCACCAGGGGCTGCGCTGACTGTGGGTTCTCTGTTCTGCTTAGTAAAGAGTAGAACTGCTGGTATTAGCATTCGATTTTCGGCTTAATCCTTTTAATTGTTGTATTCTGCACTTCATCGAAGGTGCCGCCAGGAGACCCAGGCATTGTGGCGGCTTGGCTGACTTGAGAGGCAATCCCACCCTTTCAGAAAAAACGAAGTAAAACCTGCAAAGAAGAAACGACTTTTTCACTGTACCCATCCCGGAAACGGCCCATTCTCGCCGAAGTAATAATGAATCACCTCTACTGTTTGGGCTCTCGGCGACTTTATGCTGGCCTTGCTGCTACATATATATATGCATATATATATGTACATATATGTATGTTTAACATATATATATATATATATATGCTCGGGTGGTGACAGCAGAGAGCACAAGAGAGAATTCAGGAACATGGAAGGATGCAACAATAAAAATTTGTCATCTCTAATGGCCACCAGCCCGCTAAGCACTCCGGAGTTGCAGTTCGTTTGAAGCGCGGCAGGAAGAGAGATGCAGTTGGCATCATCATTGGATCGTTGTTTGTGAGACGAGCCCCTTATTTTCTGTTTGAACGATATCTTGTGAGCTGTACTGGAGAGGGTTAATGCAGACAGCCCCTCCTTCGGTTTGGCTTTGACACGCGAGTCAATTTGTTGAAACAATGGTTTATGCTGCCGTTTTCCCTCTGCACCATTATGTTCAGTTTTTTTCATGCACAGCCGCCTATGGAACCCTAAGAAGATGAGCGGGCTGCCAAAGCGGCTAGCATGATTATTCCACCTTCCCTGGGGCTTTCATGTACAGCCCAACGCCTGCAAGTTTCCCTTGCATGCATTCACTGTGCGCGTGGGTGGTTTTAAGCCTGAGGGTTTAGGGGTAGCTGCTTCGCCGCTTCTAAAACTCTGTAGTGCATGCTCCCTTGTGCATGTATAGAGCAGTTGGGGCCGCGTCCTTCAGTGGCATCAGCATCCAGTTTTCCTTTTCTAGGGGTTGGCTGCACAACGGACAGCACTGTGAGTGAGTTTGAAGACGCTCGACGGCCTCCTCCTGCAAACAGAAAGCGATTTGATGCGCAAACTAGCCGTGGTAGCTGTGGTAGGTTGCTAGCTAGCTAGCTAACGCAGCTGCTAGCTAGCCAGCTTTCGTATGGGGTTCATAGCTCTGTTTACACAAACTTTTTAACTCTCCTGCCGTGTGCGTCTCCTTTAAATACACTTCTGCTCTACCCCTACAATGACTCACGTTCACAGAAAAATGGCAAACGGGGCACATTGCGCAGCGGTCGCCGGCTAAGCGCAGCCCCGAGGCGGCGCATAGGGGGGCCAATTGCTGCAAACAAACTCACGCAATCTCAGAACAGCACTTGCGAGGAGAAGACGTTGACGGCATGCAAAAGCAAGGTCTTCCGTACTACTGGCATGGCTATTAGGCGACGACGAAGGTAATATATATATATATATATATGTTATATGCAGCATTTTGGCTGTTTTGAACCCACCTTGCAGGAGGGGCACTGCACTTCATCGTCGTCTATCTCAGCGGCACAGCTTAGACATGGAGAAGAGCCTTTTCTGGCAGAGTCCGGTTGTTTAAGCCTAAGAATGCGTTCAACTGCTCTACGATGATGCGCTGGTACGCCCGCCTTCACCTCCGGCGACAGAAGCGGCGCACCTGCTACAGCAGCAGCAGAAGCAGGGAAGCCTGCAGCAGCTCCTGTAAGCAACGTGGAAGCCAAAATCGAAGCGGCTTGGGGCCGAAAGCTGCAAAGAGAGAAACAGAATGCCCATCAGGTAAAGCCGCTATCTATTTACGATTATTCAAGAGGAAATCGCCATGGACCACTACTGAAACGCTTTCTGCATAACTTTTATTTGACTACATATCCTGTGAAGAGCTATCGCTGCCCTCCGGCTACCTTCGTGAGCTGAGACTATGAATAGCAGCTGCCTGCTTTAAGGCGAAGCAGAGCATTGGAAGTCAGCTCTTATCTCTTGTTCCTTCTAAATCCTTTATACAGGAAGTTGGATCAAAGGGCGAATAAGCAGAGAGTTGTGGCAGCCACACCCAACGTTGCCAGCAAACAAACACAAGCAATTGTGTGCTATGTACTTATACATTTTTAAAAAAATATGCCTAAAAGGAAGGCGAAGGAACGACAACACTACAGGACGTGAGCGTATCAACGGCTAGCTAACCATCTATCTAGCTGGCTAGCTATCTATCTATCTAGCTGGCTAGCTAGGTGGCTAGCTGTTCGAAGAGAGCACATGAAAGATCTGCGCAGCTCACTCTGCAATATGTGAAGAGACTCTCAAGAGCAGCAACGCTGCGTTGTATTCGTTGCCTTGTTTGAGGAGGCTAGGAATCAACAAGTACGACTGAAGAAGCGCTAGTCGGTGCAACGCGCATGAGAAAATGCGTTGATAGTTTCTGTTTCTTAGCCCCTGTGGATTCCCCCCAGGGCAAGTTGCTGCTGCATCACTTGCAGCAAATCTCCCCTTCGCCTTCCGGAGGATGTGCAGCGCCTCCAGAAGACTTGCACGAGCAGATTCAAACAGACCTTGCTGCTGCTGATGTTGTGCAAGAGCTGCTGCGCTCGCCGCAGCCTCCCACGGCTCGCCTACGAAGAGAGCCAACCTGTTGCCAATAGAACGCAGGCATTCGTTTTTCTTTTTCTTGTGGTATGTGCAG